ATATATTTATGTTACTTGTGTGATGCAGATATTTTTTCACGGAGTAGCGCAGCACTAGTTATATAATTATACAGTACATTATATTATACATATATTTTAGTGAGTGATCAGGGTTACTAACTGCTGACAGTATGTAAAAAAATAAATGTAATTTCTAAATTTTTTACATTTTTTTTCTCCTTTAACTTTTTTTTTACATACACTGTACTACTCTGAGGGGGTGATCAGGGATTTTCTTTACACTGTTAATGCTTATAACAGCAATGATTACTGTTATAAGCAATAGTTTTAACTGTCATCAATGGCTTTCCATTCATGACAGCTTGCTTACTGTTGACATGGTACAGGGTGACAGGTACCATGTGATAGCTGTGGGCCAATCCCAGCATCACAACAGTATGCAAGCTGTTCATGAATGGAAGCCATTCATGACAGTTTGCTTACATAATGTAATATCCTGTGATAGCTATGATTGGTCATAGCAGTCACATGATACTCCAGCCACTCACAGCGACCGGGTACCGAGCACTGCAATCTACTGTGTTCAGTGGACACAGCAGTCACAGGATCATGCCACTTTGCACCCCAGGGGGTGTGCAAGTTTGCTTACATAATGTAATATCATGTGATAGCTGTGGGCCAATCCCAGCATCACAACAGTATGCAAGCTGTTCATGAATGGAAGCCATTCATGACAGTTTGCTTACATAATGTAATATCATGTGATAGCCGTGGGCCAATCCCAGCATCACAACAGTATGCAAGCTGTTCATGAATGGAAGCCATTCATGACAGTTTGTGGGCCAATCCCAGCATCACAACAGTATGCAAGCTGTTCATGAATGGAAGCCATTCATGACAGTTTGCTTACATAATGTAATATCATGTGATAGCTATGATTGGTCATACAGTCACATGATACTCCAGCCACTCACAGCGACCGGGTACCGAGCACTGCAATCTACTGTGTTCAGTGGACACAGCAGTCACAGGATCATGCCACTTTGCACCCCAGGGGGTGTGCAAGTTTGCTTACATAATGTAATATCATGTGATAGCTGTGGGCCAATCCCAGCATCACAACAGTATGCAAGCTGTTCATGAATGGAAGCCATTCATGACAGTTTGCTTACATAATGTAATATCATGTGATAGCTGTGGGCCAATCCCAGCATCACAACATTATGCAAGCTGTTCATGAATGGAAGCCATTCATGACAGTTTGCTTACATGTAATATCATGTGATAGCCATGGGCCAATCCCAGCATCACAACAGTATGCAAGCTGTTCATGAATGGAAGCCATTCATGACAGTTTGTGGGCCAATCCCAGCATCACAACAGTATGCAAGCTGTTCATGAATGGAAGCCATTCATGACAGTTTGCTTACATAATGTAATATCATGTGATAGCTATGATTGGTCATAGCAGTCACATGATACTCCAGCCACTCACAGCGACCGGGTACCGAGCACTGCGATCTACTGAGTTCAGTGGACACAGCAGTCACAGAATCATGCCACTTTGCACCCCAGGGGGTGTGCAAGTTTGCTTACATATGTAATATTATGTGATAGCTGTGGGCCAATCCCAGCATCACAACAGTATGCAAGCTGTTCATGAATGGAAGCCATTCATGACAGTTTGCTTACATAATGTAATATCATGTGATAGCTATGATTGGCCATAGCAGTCACATGATACTCCAGCCACTCACAGCGACCAGGTACTTAGCACTGCGATCTACTGTGTTCAGTGGACACAGCAGTGACAGGATCGTGCCATTTTGCACCCCAGGGGGTGTTTTAGTGTGCATATGCATGGGCGGCGTACCAGTAAGTTGCCATGCCTGCGCCCCCCCCCCCCCGACTTACAGTACTTTTACTGTGAGCGGTCAGCAAGTGGTTAATGTGAGCCCTCATTACAGTATGCTCAGAGAAGGTGTGGGCAGTTGTAGCTGTCAAAAAAGCGGTCGGAATCAGTGTTTATAAACAATGCTGCTCCAGACTGCCATATACAAAGTCACATATTGGTACATTTGTATCTTTCTGTTCATTCATCTGCAGATCAAAGTGATGAACTTCAATCTGCAAATTACGTCAGTTAAAAAAAAGTTTGACATTAAAAAGAAAAGGTTTGACATGAAATTTTTAAATAAAACGTTCCATTGTCCTCATTAACCCTTAGTTTACTCTTGTTCACATATTTTATTAGGTAGAAAATATGCCACCACAAAGAGTTAAGCCTAAGTAGTACAGGGAAACAAAAAAGACCATGGCAGCGAGAATCTCAGTAGGGTTTACACAGTGCAGAACAGGAGAAAAAATCCCCCCGGGGGTTGCAAAGTCGATTGATATCTGCAGGGCAATGGCATCAACAACATTTAAAATGCAGTGGAAAAGAATGAAAAGGAGATGCCAACCCTCAACGGGTCCACCCCAGCCATAGCCCAGGGGAGTAGGAGGAGCCAAACAGTGCTGGGTGAGTACGCAGGATATGCCAGAGAATAAGAGGACAGAGAAATAAAAAGAGGAGTAAAGCGAGAAGGAAGGGTAGGAAAAGGGGGGAAAGAAGAGAAGACGATGCTTCCGGGGGTTATGGCAATGACACTCCAGGAGAGGCAAACTGGCAGAAAAGATGCAAAATAGGGCTCCAAAAGAGAGGCGTCATAATCGGGAGGCAAGTATTTGTCAATTCAGGGTTGCCTCATTTGTCCTGAAGTGTTGCCACAATCTTAGATTCCTTACTCTAATCAGCCCTAATTAAAGTGTTCCTAAACCCACAACAGTAAAATCAATCTGTGTATGCAGTAAAGCATGCTTGTTATACTCACTGTGGAACCTAAGGGGTTAATCCTCTGCATTGTGTAAAAAGGCTATTTGATCCTGTTTTCTCTGATCATCCCCTTCTTCCATTGCACCCCTCTTATCTGCTGATACTCTGCACATGCTCAGTTTGGTGTGCATTGCTGCAGAATTTTTTTTCCTCTTGGGTGAGTGCATGCGATCAGCACAGGGCCAATCAGCACTGTCCAGACAGAGGTTAGGGGTTCTGCATCCTCCTAGAGCAGAAGAAAGAAAACTCCTCCTACAAGCTTTAACCAGTGCTCTGCTGGACACTGATAGATGCCACAAGACTGCTCTAACTGCTGATGAGAAAAGGTTTGTAGCAGTTTATATTTACTAAAATAATTGCATTTCCATGTTGTGTGTACTGTGTGAGACCGGATATAGTGAATGCAGAGTGCTGGGTTTAGTAACACTTTAACTACTCATTCTCCTTATCCATTCAATTACAGTATTTTTTCCTGCTGATTTTTTCTTTCTGCTTGATCGAGTATTAATATTTAAAACGTTTTGGTTTTGTTTGTTAATATTTCTACACATTTAACATATATTTACATATTTCCCATTTAAAAAAATGTAAAATTAAAAAAAAAAACACACCTTACTTCATTTGTAATGAACTTTGCAATGCTTTGTACCAAAATCATAATTTTTGTGTCATTTTAAACAGGACAAATAACAGAATAAAATGTACACATTGTATGTGCAGTAAACCTATTTATTTTTAAACTAACAGAAAAAAAGTGCATTTTGTTTATTTTTGTTGTTGTTTATTGTCTAAGGATTGAGAAAAAAAAATCATTGTTGCAAGACAATACATGGAAAGAAAGCCTTTTTTGTACCTAACCACTTGCCTGCCAGAAGATTTACTCCCTTCCTGGACATTTTTTGCTTTTCAGCACTGCGCTATTTCAATTGGTAAGTACGCGGTCATGCAACACTATACCCAAACTAAATTTATTTCCTTTTTTTCTTTTTCTTTTGGTGGTATTTGATCACCATTGGGTTTTTTTTTTTTTTTTTTGTGATATAAATGAAAAAAAAAAAAACAAATATTTTGAAAAAGAAGATATTTTCTATTTTTGGTTATAAAAAATATCCAATACGCTCAAAGTTAGTCATAAAATTAGTCCAAAATGTATTCTTCTTTGGTAAAAAAAAAAAAAATTCCAATATGTGCATAATAATTGTTTTTTGTGAAGGTTACAGTATAGTGTTTACAAACTATGGTACAGATACTGAAATTTACGTAGCTTTTACTTTCTGACTGCCTATCACATTTCTTGAGGTGCTAAAATTCCTGGACAGTACAGACTCCCCCCCCCCCCCCCCCCAAATGACCACTTTTTAGAAAGTAGACCCAAGGAATTTGATAAGAGGCATGTTGAGTATTTTACTGACATAATTTTTGTCACAGGGTTTTGAAGAAGAAAAAAAGAAAAGCAAAAATAAATTTATGTTTCCTTTCTTCATTTTCCAAAAACTTGTGGCAACAAATGAGATCTGCGCTATACTCACCATGCCTCTTAGCAAATACCTTGAAGTGTCTACTTTCCAAAAAAGGGGTCATTGGAGGGGGTGCTTTTGCTATCCTGGCATTTCAGGGCCAACATTAGAAGCTTATGCCACACATCACCAACTCTTCTAACCACTTGAAGAAGCCTTTTCTGCCTCTTTATGTGTACATGAAAAACCTTTTTTTTTTTTGCTAGAAAATCACTTTGAACCCCGAAACATTATATGTTTATTTTAAAGCAATGGCCCTAGAGAATAAAATGGTGGGTGCTGCAAATTTTTATGTTACACAGTATATGTGTACCGATTTTTCAAAAGCTAATTTAAAAAAAAAACAAAACACTTTTTTGAATCTAAATGCACAAAAACACAATATATTGCCCATAAAAGATGATGTTATGCCAAGTAAATAGATGCCAAACATGACATGCTTTAACCACCTCCCGCCCGCTATATAGTAATATGACGGATGCAAGGTGGTTCTCTCGTTCTGGGAGGACGCCATATGATCGGCGATCGGTGGTGCGCTGTGTCCCTCGGACACAGCGGATTACCGATCACGAAAACAGCCGAAGATATCGGCTCGGTCATGTGATCATCTGTGTCCAATCACAGCTGATCACATGTAAACAGGGAAATGCCGGCTCTGATGATCAGTGTGCCCTTATGATCAGTGTAGCCCCAGCAGTGCCACCTGTCAGTGTCCATCAGTGCCTTGTGTCAGTGCTCATCAATGCCTTGTGCCAGTGCCCATCAGTGCCACATCAATGCCACATATCAGTGCCTACCAGTGCACATCAATGCCACATATCAGTGCCCATCTGAGCTGCCTTTCAGTGTCACCCATCAGTGCCAGTCAGTGCCACCTATCAATGCCAATCAGTGCCACCTATCAGTGCTGCCAATCAGTGCCACCTATCAGTGCCAGTCAGTGCCACCTATCAGTGTCTGTCAGTTCCAGCTATCAGTGCCAGTAAGTGATGCCTAACAGTGCCAGTCAGTGCCGCCTAACTGCCAGTCAGTGCCGCTTATCAGTGCCAGTCAGTGCCCGCCTAACAGTGCCATATATCAGTGCCATATATCAGTGCTGCCTTTAATTCCCCTCAGTGATGCCTGTCAATGCCCATCAGTGCCATCTACCAGTGCCTCCTCATCAGTGTGTCCATCAGTGCAGCCTATCATTGCCCATCACTGCAGCCTCATCATTAGCGCACATCAGTGAAGAGAAAAATCACTTATTTACAAAATTTTATAACAAAAACTAAGAAAAAATGTTTTTTTTTTACATTTTCTGAAGTTTTTGGTTTGTTTAAGAAAAAATAAAAAACCCAGAGGTGATTAAATACCACCAATGGAGAGCTCTATCTGTCACAAAAAAAATGATAAAAATTTCATATGGGTACAGTGTTGCATGACCACGCAATTGTCACTCAAAGTGTGACAGCGCTGAAAGCTGGAAATTGGCCTGAGCAGGAAGGGGGTATAAGTGCCTTGTAGGCTTGTGGTTAAAATTGCGCATGCCCATGGAATGGCAACAAATTACATACATTTTTCATATTGATAGGTGATGCTTTCAAAAAGTTTTTACAGGCCACCACTTTATATTTACACAGGAGGTCTAGTGGTAGAATTACAGGCATTTGCGGTGATATCTCACATGGTGCAATCTCTGTTTACATACTGACATGGAACCAATGCTTGCGTTCTCCTTTGCGCACGAGCATGGGAAGGAGGGGTGGGGTGATTTTTTTTTTTTTTTTACAATGTCCCTCTTTTTTTTTTTTTTCTTTTTGATCACTTTTATTGTTATCACAGGGAATGTAAATATCCCCTGTGATAGCAATAGGCAGTGACAAATACTCTTTTCTGAGAAATTTGGGGTCTAGATCTCTCCTCTGCCTTTAAAGCATCTGATTACACCAAGATCGGTGTGATCAGATGCTTTCTCAATTTAGAAATGGTGCTGTTAATATCCAGCGAAATGGAAATGATGAAATGCTCATAGCTTCGGTTTCCTTAGACCATAGAGATGCTTGGAGCTATTCTGGTCTCTGATCAGCTCTATGGCCAGCTGGCGGAACTGCCGGCTGCATTCTCGGGTTCCCTGGTGGGACAGGAGAGCCCAAGAAAACCGTGGAAGGTGGAAGGAGGGGGGATGTCCCTTCGCACTGCTTGTAAAAACAATCCAGTAGCTAAATAGGCACTAAGATTGAGCTTTTACATGAAAGCCGACCGTGAGCTAAAAAAAATTGATACCAGGATGATGCCTGTAGCTGCATACTGTATATATATGTTTGTGATTTTGCGCTGCCCTGTAGCAGCATTTCTGATATTGGGCAGCGAGGAAGCAGTTAAAGTGATACTAAAGTCTTGTTTTTCTTTTTTTAATAACAAACATGTCATACTTACATAAACTTCATTATATAGATCATTATAAAGAGATGATAAAAAAGTAATAGATATCATTATAACTATTTTTTTTATTATTTCATAGTTCTTATTATATGTCTAAAAACAATGATATATCATATCGTGGAAATTAAGAGTTTATATATAGCGTAAATTATTATTAATATTATTATAATTATTATATTACCTTTTTGTTTACATATTGATCATATATTGTCAGACTGTTCTTCTGACTATCATGTGAACTTTTGGAGTTTCATTGAAGTTTGATCATTTGAATTTGATAACCATTGTAAAAGATAACTTATATACAAACACACACATAGATATTATATGTATCTTTTTACCTACAGTTGCAAGAAAAAGTATGTGAACCCCTTGGGATTACGTGGAGTTTTGCATGAATTGGGCATAAAATGTGCTCTGAACGTCATCCAAGTCACAATAGAAGAACACAGTCTGCTGAACATAATACTACACAAACATTAGATGTTGCCATGGTTTAATTGCACATAACATGTAAACATTCACAGTGCAGGGAGGAAAAAGTATGTGAACCTTTGGACTTAATAACTGGTTGAACCTCCTTTGGCAGCAATAACCTCAACCAAACGTTTCCTGTAGTTGCAGATCAGACCTGCACAACGATCTGGAGTAATTTTGAACCACTCCTCTTCACAAAACTATTTCAGTGTAGCAATATTCTTGGGATGTCTGGTGTGAATCGCTCTCTTAAGGTCATGCCACAGCATTTCAATCGGGTTGAGGTCAGAACTCTGACTGGGCCACTCCAGAAGGTGTATTCTGTGCTGTTGCAGCCATTGTTTTGTTTAATTACTTGTATGCTTTGGGTCATTGTCCAGTTGCATCACCCATCCTCTGCGGAGCTTCAGTTGGCGGACAGATGGTCGTACGTTTTCCTGCAAAATGTCTTGATAAACTCTGGAATTCATTTTCCCATCAATGACAACAATCCGTCCAGGCCCTGAGGCAGCAAAGCAGCCCCAAACCATGACACTCCCTCCGCCATGTTTTACAGTGGGAATGAGGTTTTGATGTTGGTGTGCTGTGCCTTTTTTTCTCCACACATAGTGTTGTGTGTTCTTCCCCAAACAACTCAATCTAGCTCTGGGAGAAGTCATTAAGCTAGGGCCTCACATACTTTTTCCTACCTGCACTGTGAATGTTTACATGTTATGTGCAATTAAACTATGGCAACATCTAATGTTTGTGTAGTATTATTTTCAGCAGACTGTGTTCTTCTATTGTTGTGACTTAGATGACGTTCAGAGCACATTTTATGCCCAATTCATGCAAAACTCCACGTAATCCCAAGGGGTTCACATACTTTTTCTTGCAACTGTACATACATATTTTTTTGTTCATCAGGGGTCAATTCACTAAGATAAATACAGCATTAATTTTTGAGTTAAAATAATTCATGCAGTGTTTATTTCAAATGTAGTCAATTCACTAAAAAACACACGTTATTTACCGAATGCGTTAAATATTTATGTTTTGTGATATTTTAACACTTCATTTTTGCTTTATTTTTGGTGTTGTTTTCTCACAATTTTTTTTTTTTTTGCAGGCTAACACTTCACCAGAAGGCACGCAGCAATTATGTGAAACTGTGAAAACATTCTAGTGAGCTTTCATTCACAAAACAATCTCCCTCTGATGAAATGTTACAATTTATTTTCATACCTGAGCTCAGAGGAGAACATTTGCACATTGATACATTGTATACTTTTCACTTTTTGGCCAGTAAAGAGTTCCTGTAATTGTTATTTTGTATATTTCTAAAATACCACCAACAAACACATAACTAATGTGTGTGTTTTTTAATGAATTGACTTTAATGATTTATCTCATGTTTTTTTTTCCCCCGTATTTATCTCACTGTTTTGACAAATGTGCGGTATTTACCTCACATTTGATATTTTACTTTGATGAATTGACTGTTATATTATTTAATGCGATATTTCTGAAAAATGAGTCATGTGACCTTCATATTGCATGCGGTAACCTTTAGTGTATTGACCCCTCTGTGTTTTATGCACCTTCCTGAGGAAGTGGCCAGGTAGTGCCATGAAACTTGATGATGTTTTATATTATTCTGTGAGCAAAAAGGCTGGGTTCACACTTGTGTGGTGCGGTACATCGTATGTGATTTGCACAGGAACCGCACCGCATTGCTGTGCAAATCACATGCAAATTTTGTACGGCTCAATTCGCACCGCATCCTCACCAAACAGGTGCAGGACCCTTTTTTTTATCCGCAATAGAATCGGATTGGATGGGTATTCACACCTATACGATCCGATTCTGCACATTGCACCGCGTTTTGCGAACCGATTGCAGGATGTTGTTAACTTAACATACACACCAACAGCGGTTCACATTCGGTACTGATTACTCATTGTGTTTATTTAGGAAAGGAAGGGGCTGGAGGCACGGGGGGGGGGGGGGGGGGGGTCTGGGCAGCAGAGGGAAACTTATGGTGTACAGAGAGGGTGATGAGTGTTGCGCGGGGGGGGGGGGGGGGACAAATACTGGAACCGATCCCCTATATGGCTCTCTTTGCAGCAGCTGAGAGTAGGGGGGGGGGGGAGAAGGAGTTAGCTTTCAGCTGCTGTAGAGAGGGCCATACAGTGGATCGGTTCCAGTAATTGCCCCGCCCACTGTGCCGATCACCCTCTCTGCCCACATCCAATTCACCCAGCAGCTTGGGCATCCCTGCTGACCTGGGCCCCGTACAGGAAGACTGGGGGTACCCACTTATTCCCGGCCCTGCCTGTCTGCAACTACAGCGGACAGACTTGTGGTCCCCAATTTGAAAAAGCTGCACAGGCACACTTCCTCCTACAAACCATATGAACGCATTCCTTTTTTTTTTAAAAAAAGACTTATCCTTTAATTATGTCTGGGTGTATGGCCCTTTAAGGGGCAAAAACCGAAATAACAAGTAGCAACTATAATAACAGCCAATCAGAGCTCGTGTATCTCTGAGTTATAACCCCGCCTCCTTCCCAGCTCGCAGGTCACGTGATCCCATCCCTCACACAACAATCGCAGGACGAGCCCCCTCCGCCACGTGCTGCACAGAGCGGGCTTCCTCTCAGCGTGGGGGCGTGACTAGGCGGGACCGCGCACGCAGGGTGCGCTTTATAAGCAGTGTTGCGTGCGCGCTCCCGCCACACGAACCGCGCGGGTTCAGGCTCTTTGTGAAGAGGAGGCGGCACCGACGACACCACCGGATACCGGTTCAGGAGCTACCATGGCAGACGACAAGCCAAAGGTACCGTGTGAGGGCCGGTGTGGAAGCGGTGGGGGTGGGAGACACGGCTGGAGTGTAGGAGCGGGGACGGAGGCCTGAGTACAGGGTGAGAGTAGGCCGGGCTCAGGGAGTCCATGTGTGGTGGGGACAGAGGGCGGATATGTATGGGGGAGGGGGTCCGGGAGAGGACTGAGCGGCCCAGGGATCGGAGTTCATCTCTTCCGGATTATTTATCATCAGAGGGCTCTTGTAACCGGTGCTTCCTCCCTCATCACACAGACTACTTGTGTGACCGGGACCCCCATCACTTGGGTGCCTGCGATTGGCCACCGCCGGGACCCCCACAACTTGGGTGCCTGCGATTGGCCACCGCCGGGACCCCCATCACTTGGGTGCCTGCGATTGGCCACCGCCGGGACCCCCATCACTTGGGTGCCTGCGATTGGCCACCGCCGGGACCCCCATCACTTGGGTGCCTGCGATTGGCCACCGCCGGGACCCCCATCACTTGGGTGCCTGCGATTGGCCACCGCCGGGACCCCCATCACTTGGGTGCCTGCGATTGGCCCACCGCCGGGACCCCCATCACTTGGGTGCCTGCGATTGGCCACCGCCGGGACCCCCATCACTTGGGTGCCTGCGATTGGCCACCGCCGGGACCCCCATCACTTGGGTGCCTGCGATTGGCCACCGCCGGGACCCCCATCACTTGGGTGCCTGCGATTGGCCACCGCCGGGACCCCCATCACTTGGGTGCCTGCGATTGGCCACCGCCGGGACCCCCATCACTTGGGTGCCTGCGATTGGCCACTGCCGGTGGACCCCTCATCACTCGGCTCCCTGCGATTGGCCACTGCCGGTGGACCCCTCATCACTCGGCTCCCTGCGATTGGCCACTGCCGGTGGACCCCTCATCACTCGGCTCCCTGCGATTGGCCACTGCCGGTGGACCCCTCATCACTCGGCTCCCTGCGATTGGCCACTGCCGGTGGACCCCTCATCACTCGGCTCCCTGCGATTGGCCACTGCCGGTGGACCCCCCCCCCATCACTCGGCTCTCGGCTCCCTGCGACTGGCCACTGCCTGTGGACCCCCCCCATCACTCGGCTCCCTGCGACTGGCCACTGCCGGTGGACCCCCCCATCGTTTGGGCTGCCTGCCATTGGCCATCGACTGTGGGGACCCCCCTTTCCGACGTTTGGGCTGCCTGCCATTGGCCACCACTGGATTCCTTCCCTGTGAGCGCACAGGACTGTTGTCTAACCCCACTATTGTCTGGATTGATCCAGTGTTCTATCACAGCATGATGCAGTTCATGGCTTAGTGCTCCACAGCATTAGGGGAAGGTTCACATATGTGCAGTTTGTGTGGTCATGGCAGCCCATTCCTTTGAATCGGTGGCTGGGCCTCCTAAAATGCAGGAAAGGGTCCCTGCACCATTTTTGGAATCGCAGCCCACACGGGAAGTGCAGGTACAATTCGGTTCTCAGTGTGGGTGGTGAGACATTAGGATTGCCAACTGTCCGCTTCTCCTGTGGTTCACTGTGCAGATGGTCCCTTTTAGATTGTAAAGCTCTAAGGAGGCAGAGGCCCTTGATTTCTGCAGCTATGAGAACAGGCGTGTGTCCCGCTGCGACAGTCACCCACACGGGTGCGGATTTGGCTTTAAAGTAGCAGGAAACCATCAATTTTGCTTTAGTTTGTTTGGGCCACCAGTCCCGTGCACTATTCCATTACAGAACCATGAGGTCGCTGTGTGTTGTACTGTAGTACTATTGCTACATAGTGAGTTGTGTTCTGGCTGCATTTAAGATTTTTTGGCCATTGGACTATAGGCATCTTGAGTCTGATAGATGGAAGATAAATGTAACATAAATTAGAGTTTCACTGGCATGCAGACTGCCTATAAACACAGTTGTGAGGAATCCAGTGCTTTGTTCTTGGGTTTACAGAGTCAGGCTAGGTTCACGTGTGCGGGTGGTGCCGCTGCGGATCCATACAAAAATCCGTACAGCCGCACCACCCACACAGAAGAATGCGTACCTGCGGGCGCGGGTGTTGTTAATTCTAATGGCACGCCGCCCGCACTGAAAATTGCAACCGTACTGGGAACTGAGGTTCCCGTGCGGGCTGCGTTTTCAGAAGTGGTGCCTCCTCCGCATGCCTCCTACCCAGAAATGCAAAATCACGTGTGTGTGTGTGTGTGTGTGTATATATATATATATATATATGTGTGTGTGTGTGATTTTGTGCACCAGCGCCTCCCTGTAGCAGTATTTCTGCTATAGGGTGGTCGGGGAGCGAATAAAGAAGACCTTACAATGTCTGCTTATGCCCTGTACGTTATTGGCCTCCTTCCCCAGCAACACATGCTCATCTTTCTGTATAATTTATAATATAGTACAATGGCATCCTATAGTGTAGATATAATAAACCTAAAACACAAGAAATGAAACCCAGCTTTTGCCCTGCCCTTGCTCACTACCTGGGATTTGTCAGCTGCTAAGCAACCAAAGCCAGACTCTAGGTGATATGGACCTGCACAGTTGAAAGTCTGTTTTCAAAAGGGCTGTTTGTTCATGAGGCTGTGGGGTTAATATGCCATGTTGTGTCCTCAGTAACATGGCAGTTTGCAGCCCTTTAAATAGAAAACTATAAACTGTGCATGTCCATACACTCAGTGTTCTGCAGATGAATCCATAGTCTTCTGTCCAAGCAAGTAATCAGCTACTGACACCAAAGATCTTTAACCATCTGTAAGTGAACATTGTTCTTCCTGCAGAGCACCAATGTATGGGGGGATACTTCTACACTGACAACCAATGTAAAGGGGAACTTTTTTCATTTTTAACAGAAATGTGCTCAGTACATGGAATATGATCTTAAACTATAATTGTGTTACAGGAAGGTGTTAAGACCGAGAACAATGATCACATCAACCTGAAAGTGGCTGGTCAAGATGGATCCGTGGTGCAATTCAAAATCAAAAGACATACACCGCTTAACAAGCTTATGAAGGCTTATTGTGAACGTCAGGTAAAATAGTTTTCCCTTCCTTTCCCCATCTGTCATTCTGAAAATAATTGTGCTGTAAACTATACCAGTTTAAAGCAATAGAAAACTCTGTAATGGCTTGACTAAACATTTTGTAGAAGTGTTTATTTTATTTTTTTTTCTACACAATCTCACTGCACACAGTTTAGGACTTTTGTAACAGAATTTCTAGCGAGAGTGAAACTGTTCTGAAGACAAACGGCTGGCCCTATTCTTTAAAAATGGGTTCACATCTCTGCCTTTTTTGGTGCATTTGCTGAAGCTTAGAAACGCACTACATTCCATTGAATATTTTCCTTTGGGTCCCCTTCAAATCTTTGCGGTTTCCTGCAGTTCATTTTTGGAAAGGTGCAGGGACTTCTTAACACGTGCTATAGATTTGTGGAAAAGCATGAAAAATGTATGTAGATGCATTTCCGCTTCCTCCTTGATTGTTTAACCCCTTCATGCCGAGTGTGAACAAATATGTGGGCCTCTTGGTGGCTGGGCCTTGACGCAGAGCAGCCGCATATTTGAGTACCATTTGTAAACAAACGTGCTGAGAGCGCGCTCCCAGCACATGTCGGCATCCCACGGAAAGGTCCCGATCTCTCCTAAGGACCGTTCTGATCATTTGACCGCCAATCACGGTGGTCACATGATCCTAAACCCGCCCCCACCTCCTGGTGTCAGAAAACCCTTAAAGGGCTGAGAGGCGCCGGCACGAAGGGGTTAAAACAATCAGTCTTAACAATTAAAAAACGCATTTAAATGCACCACAAAAATGCATAAAACGATTCAGCTGCACATGCATGGATGTGAACCTAGCCTAAAGAAGAATTCCAGGTTTGGCTATTTTTACATAGTTGTACTGGTCCAGCTTGGACCATATACCAAACCTGTGGGATCCCTTTTAGAATCTGGAAATCACTTTTAGTAGACACTGCTTCACCAGTCATCTCCACTAGCATAGGACCTACTATGCAGAGCAGCTAGCCTGCTGCATTGTGAACACAGGAGGCAGGGGACCTGGATGCTATTGGTGGTCACTGGAGTTAGCTGTACCACCTACAGTAATTTCCAGCTTCTAAAGAGATTCCACAGGCCTGGTGTATTCATAGTTATGGTTCAAGCAGGTCCAATGTAAGGCATCCCATACATTAAGTCAGGTTTTGTTTTTTTTTGTTTCCAGCAGGGTGAATGAATGAAATTGACTTGGTTCCACCTCCCCCACCCTCCCATCAACACATTTGATGTGAATGGAGTAATCCTCCCATCTGATATATTGTACTTTAACAGCAGGGAGGCTTCCCTGCCATCAGAATACACTGGTCAGCACTGCAGTCAATAGCCTGCAGCGCTTATCGAGTGGGGAAAATCTGGCAAGGCTGTACAGAAGGCGATCGGTAGATTGACTTTCTGCACAACCTCCTCACTCATACTTGGATCAAAATTTGTCCGGTCCCTGCTACTAGCCAAATTTCAATCAATGCATGGCCAGCTTAACTATGAAAATGTCCATACCTGAATTCTTTCAATAAATCCCAAATACATTGCTTGGTGCCTTTGTTGGTTTGTCCATACTCCCTAGAGCAGGAACTAGGACAGTTTGGAGAAAAATGCATTATTTATATATAAAAGGAGACACCGAAATTAAAATTCTGGTGCCGAAAACAAAAATTCAAAATGCACTTGGCTGAAAACCGAAATGCGCAGTTTTTTAAAAATGTATGTAGATATATATAGATATAGATAGAGAGAGAAATTTTTTTTTTTTTTCTCTGATTAAAAAAGACAAAAAAACCCAATATATATACCCCAATTTTTTTGTAAAATATGAAAGAGGATGTTACAGCGAGGAAATAGATACGCAACGTGTCACGCTTTAAAATTGCGCACGCTCGTGAAATGGTGTGAAACTGCAGTACTTATAAATCTCCATGGGTGATGCTTTAAAAAAATTTCTACAGGTTAGCAGTGTAAAGTTACAGAGGAGGTCTAGTGCGAGAATTATTGCTCTTGCTCTGACGTGGGGATACCTCTCGTGTGGTTTGAACACCGTTTACATATGTGGGCATGGCGCGGGGGGCGGGAGCACATTAAAAAAAAAATTTTGAAAGGACAGTGCAAAAATAACTAAATTGGTTAAAAAAAAACTTTTAGTCATTTTTATTCTCACAAAAAATGCATGCATCCCTTGTGACAGAAATAATTAGTGAGAGGTCCTCTTTATGGAGAGATATGGGGTCAATAAGACCCCACATCTCTCCTCTACAATGTTAAAGCATTGTATACAAAAAAAAGAATTGATCTAGTGCTTAAAATAAAAAAGGAAGTGACATCGCTCTGGTCCTCCCAAGGGCATAGAGATGAGTGGCGGCCATCTTTCCTTCACTCATCTCTATGCCAGTGCCGAGATCGATTGTTTCTCAGGTAAGGCTGAGGACTACTGAGTGGTGGCTGCTGGCGGGCTTTTTTCAGCACCTGTTATCGTTGCTTTTATTCATTTTGGCAGATGGCTGATAGGGGTATTTTTGGCCAAAATGTTTTCTGCCACTGAAATTTCGGTGCATCACTAATTTACAATGGCAAGAAGAAGTATGTGAACTCCTTGGAATTAACTAGTTTTATGCAGTAATTTTGCCTGATGTGATCTGATCCTCATCTAAGTCACCATAGTAGACAAACACAATCGCACATCTAAGAATTGCTAATCTGCAATGTTTTATTTTTGGGTTTACTACTGCTTTTAAGGCCCTTTCACACTGTTGTTGCAGTAGCACATAAATTACCTTAACGCCCTTTGTTCTGAATGGCCCCCGAATGGGGGGGTGTTGCAGTACACTAGTGTGCATTGTGCAGCAAACGGTGTATGCTAGTCCAACGCACCCTTACCATAGAAGCATCCTGTGGCTGCTGTGTGAACAATCCATAAAACATGAGCTTTGTGCAGTACTCTTATGATTCTGCTATCTTCAATCCACCAATACAGCTGGTTACGGCAAATGGCGCTTGCACTGAATAATTTTCTTGTATTGGTCAATGATGCTAGGTTGAAATTGAACAGTTGAAGTAAACGGGCTGTGCAGTAAAATGCACAGCCCGTTTACACTGTTTAGGCCACTCTCCCTTCACTAATTACCTTCTAATAGTAAATGTGAAATGTACCAGTAAAAAGTGAGGAGTTATATACTTGCCTCACCTCCATCTTACACCCTGTGGTGTCTAGAAGTTGCATTCTCCAGCTAGATCCTATAGAATGCAGAGCATCCAAAATCTTGGAGAGAAGACAGTCTTGCCCTGGACTGAGGTGTCATTTTTGCAGCTCTGCCTTCTGCATTAATCCTGTAAGGGTGGTGATGCCGCACCCAGCAATGTGTAAGGGGGGGGGGGGGTTATGGGGAGTATCATTTTTATGCTTCTATCTGAAAAATGTGAAGCAAATATTAATCCTACTTATCGGTTGGTGATCAGTAAAGGCGTAAGGGTCCAGGGCAGTCTGAGCAGACCTTGCATTGTACTGGGACAGATGCAGTAGACACTACTATATAATATGTGTAACGTGTATAAAGTTTCTTGAAAATGTTCACATAAAATGATGCAATCCTGGATATATTGTCTAGTAAACCATGTGGTGGTAATTACATTTTTGTTGCATTAGTTTTATAGTATAATCATGGTATGTTTTGTTTTTTTTTTTTAACATTCTAGGGTTTGTCAATGAGGCAGATTCGATTCCGATTTGATGGTCAGCCAATTAATGAGACGGACACACCAGCACAGGTATATATGGCAGATTTGTCCTAAATGCAAATATTTGGATAAATGTGTGGAATAGTGATAATGATTAAGAGAACCTGTCTTTTTGCAATATGTAGGCTCACTGCTGTTCTCCAATCCTGAAAATGCTTTAACCTGACTGTCTCCAGCTTCCATAATGTATATAAATCTCTCAACTTCAACAAGCCTACAGCCAGTGAATTACTAAAGTGTTACTAAACCCACAACAGTTAAACCAATATATGCCGTAAAGCATGCTCACTGTGCAACCTAAGGGGTAATACTCTGCATTGTGTGAAAAGACTGTTTGATCCTGTCTTCTCTGATCCTCCCCTTCAGTAGTCTCCAATTCAGCTACTGCTAAAACAGAGCCCTAGGATGGTGCTGCACATGCTCAGCTTGGTGTGTATTGCTAGTTATTTATTTATTTTTTTATGGGGGGTATGCATTTGATATTAACGGCCAGTCAGCACTGTCCTGACAGGGTCAGCGGTTATGTAGCCTCATTGGACAGTCAGAGGAGAATGAGAACTCCATGTTTTAACCAGAGCTTGGCTGGACACTGATAGAAGTCACAAGACTGGTATATACTGCTGGGAAAAGGTACTTGGCAGTTTTTATATTTACTAAAATAATTGCATTCCCTTGTCCTGTGTACTGTGCAAGATGGATATAATGAATGCAGGGTCCTGGGTTTAGTAACCTTTTAAAACTTCAGTTGTGTGACTAGCATTTTTTAGACCTGTATAATGGCAGTCTAAATGTTTCTCTTACAGGTTTCCTTTAAAGTAAATCTAACTCCAAGAACAAAAGTGTGTAAAAATATATTTATATATATATGCAGCTGGCCTTCCTTTTTCTGCATCACAATACCTGTTGATTTTGTCATTTTAACTCCTGTGCACTAAACTAGAATATCAAACAAGCTTTTTTGGCTTTCCAGTTGTATGTAATGAAGAGGGGTGAGGTGTGTGTTGTCCTGATCATGAGCAGCCTGGGTGGACAACTCTGCTTCATAGATAAAGTGCAGTGAGTGAGCATTGTCACCCTAGGACAGGAAGTGTTACTGGAAGGATCAGAGTAGAAGTTTAAAGCTTAAAATGTAGCCACCACACTGGTAATCTGCAAAATACTAAAATCATCTTCTTGGATACAGATTCACCATAGCCCCTTTCTCCCGGGGTGGATTCTGTTCTGATCAGCAGGGTATTGACTCATAGATCCCCTGCTGATTGGAGCAGGTGGATGGCGCTTCATCGTCTGCTCTGTTTTCTGCAGACCAGACATGACGGGATTTCCCATATGAAAGAAGCCTTAAGTAAATTTGTGTATCTTTTTTACTAAAAGTTGTTTAATCGGGGAAGCTTTTAGCTACTTGCCCTCCTGAGGATTTAGCCCCCTTCCTGACCAGGCCATTTTTTGCCTTATGGCTCTGCGTTACTTTAACAATTGCGTTGTCATGCAATGTTGCACCCAAAGGAAATTTTACGTCTTTTTTTTTTTTTTTTTTTTTTTTTTTTTTCCCCCCCACAAATTGAGCTTTGTTTCAGTGGTGTTTTGTTTGTTTTTGGTTTTTTGGTTTTTTTGCGCTATAATCAAGACTGACAATTTTGAGGGGAAAAAAAACAATATTTTTTACTTTTTGCTATTGAACATGTCCAGCAAAAAAAAATTAAACAAATTTAATCCTACATTTAGGTCAAAATGGTATTCTGTTATGTGTGCTTGCTAAAAAAAAAAAAAAAATTCCCAATACGTGTAAATTAATTGGTTTATGTGAAAGTTATACGTTTTTACAAATGGCTGTATAGATACTGAAATTTTGTTTTTACTAGTAATGGTGTCGATCAGCAACTTATAGTGGGAATGTGGTGGGTATTCTGACGCGGGGTGGGGGGGGGGGGGTGGTTAGCATTGGGTTCTGACATTCCCCAGTGACACAATACAGTGAACTCAGTGCTAAAAAAAAAAAAAAAAAAGCACTGGGCAGGAAGGGGTTAATGAAGGGCGATCAAAGGGTTAACTGTATGGTGGGTGTGTTTTGCTATGGGGCTGTGTATTTGAGCTTCACTGTAATCACACTGCTTTTCATGGCTGTGATGTGCACAACCATCCAAAGCAGTGTGCATGAGCTAACTGGGAGAAGTGTTTTGCTTACACACAGTTCTCCTCCCCGTCGGAGATGCTTGGCAAATCACCGGCTGGGACCCTGTGATTGACAGCTGCGGCTGTGAAAGGGGCGCTGGTAGGGTGCATGCGCACTCCCCCCCTACCCCCTAATGCAACGTTATGTATGTATATGTGTGAATTTGTGCACACCCGTGCCGCCCTGTAGCAGTATATATCTGCTATAGGGCGGTCAGGAAGCGGTTAAAGTACTAGAAGTCTATGTAGAACAGCCATGCCTACTGAATGCAGGGGTTGACTGTAGTTAATGCTTAAGAAAAAGAAGGGGCTGTTCCACTTTTAATCACACCTACTTCAAGCTATTTCAGAAGATTACTTGGCTGCTGTCTTGCAATCAGTGGTGTGTGTGACACTAGAGCACTTGCAAAAGAGCAGGTATCTTGCTCCTCAGGCTAGCAGTAAGAACATATGTGAACAGAACAGGTGACAGTCTCGTTTGTAACCAGAGGAAGGTAGTGCATGAGTTGGTAGGTTGGTTCATTTGTTTAACCCTTCTGGAAACCGTTTGGGGATGGTTCCTTCCTGTTCCAACATGAGCAAGCTCCATAAAGACATGGATGAGCGAGTGTGGGGCGAAGGAACTTGACTGACCTGCGCAGAGTCCTGACCTCAACCCGATAGAACACCTTTGGGATGAATTAGAGCGGAGACTGTGAGCCAGGCCTTCTCGTCCGACATCAGTGCCTGACCTCACAAATGCTCTTCTGGAAGAATGGTCAAACATTCCCATAGACACACTCCTAAACCTTGTGGATGGCCTTCCCAGAAGAGTTGGAGCTGTTATAGCTGCAAAGGGCGGGCCACAACTCAATATTGAACCCTACGGACTAAGACTGGGATGGTATTGAAGTTCATGTGCCTGTAAAGGCGGCTGACCAATACTTTTGGCAATATAGTGTATATGTACATCTGGTGGGAACTCATTAAAGGGCACTAATGGAAATACTCTGATTAATGTTTTAAATATTTCCCAAGTTTTTTTCTCTCTAACTTGGATGTATATTATACATACATATGGAGGCAAGCATATTTGATCCTTGTATTACTGTACATAGATTTCTTTCAAAGAAGCATGAACGTGTTTAACTTTACCTAAAATGAACATAATCATTACTCTGCTCTGTGCAACCTGTTTGAAAGTGTTGTCAAAGTACTATTACTCTGTTAAATTGCAGGGGAAAAGAAATTGTAGTTTTTCATTGTCCTAACTGAATACTCTTTATTTTTGTAGTTGGAGATGGAGGATGAAGATACAATTGATGTGTTCCAGCAGCAGACGGGAGGAAAGTTCTAGAACAAGCTCTAAATACCCAGCTGCTCCCCCACTGCCTCCACTTGAACATGTTCATCTCCATCCCTATTCCCATTACTGTACATACATTTAGGATGGATGTGTTATTTTAGGGAATGTTTTTCCCATTGCCCCTCCTCCCCCCTTTTTTTTTTTTTTTTTTTTTCTTCCCCCCCAGCTTTAAAGAAAACCAGACACAATTGAGTTTATGCAAGAATCTGAACACTTGAGCCTAGGTTATAATTATACAGACTTTGTAGATCTAAACTTTCCCTCATTATGTTCACCTAGTTTCGTTAGGATAATTCTTTTGAGCACCCTGAGATCACGCAAGTTATTGCCCCATCCAAATACATGGGCAAATGGCTCCTCAATAAGAATAGCAGTATTTCACACCGGGGCCTTTTAACTACAGTGCCGTGGTATGTGATACTGCCTATGAAGGGGGATGGCTTGTCTAAATCAGCTACAGGTTATGCAGCAGTTGTCAGAGTTCAGGTAGCCTCTGACCCAAAGGGGGTCAGTTCATCCTTCATCAAAGGAAGCTAATTAATGGTAGGCCTGCACATTTGTGATAAGACTGACTATTCATATTCTTGCATAGACTTGTGTGACTGGTTTTGTCCATTAAGTAGGGTTGATTGTATGGATTATACGAACTTGTCACCTGTGCGGCCCCAACCTGTCAGGTTTGATTCATTTGCAGGATCAGCTTGTGTGCAACTTTATATTCCTTTATAAAGAATTATTCCATAATAATGTTAAACCTGACATTTGGGGATAGGGAGACACAGGATGAGGAGTTCAGATATTTGCTTGGACTATGTCTTTTTGGCTTTAAAACAGAGTTCAGTATAAAAATTCATACTCTTCCACTGACCCTAACTTGATGGTGCTCTCATTTTAAAGATTTCCCCCCTTTTGGACCAAGTTAACTTGAGATGGTGGGTGCTTTGCACTGTTCTGATTTTTTTTTTTTTTTTTCATGCTTTCAACTTATTACAGTAAATTATTTTGCTTTATCCTTTTACAAAGCATCCAGGGGTATTGAACAATGTGATACGACAGATACTGGAGTGGATAACTTCTGGATTATAATTTTTCATTGGCATTCTTATTCCAGGTTCTATCATATTTAAGGGAGCAGGCCCACCTCTCAGTTGAGCTTATTTTTTATTGTGAAGCCGAAATTATTTTATAACTTTTTGTATGTAGCTGTTACATGTAGCTGGGTGAATAATTTAGAAAAGATGTAAAAAGATTTAAATTTAGGTAGATTTTTCTCTTCTGACATCTTGTTGTTTTAAATCTTGTTTAAAATAAATTACTTTACTACTTTGTTGGTGAACAGAAATATGAATGTTCTTAGAAGCTCAGCAGTGTTAAAAGGATAACTAAACCCAAGAATAAAAATATAATGCATTGCAGCTTAGCAGTTATCCAGTGTAAAGTACATTTTCAGCAAGTACAGAACATACCTGTTGGTCTTGCCAGTAGATGTCCTTTCCTGTAGATGAAACAGAAAGCAGAACTAAGCTTGTATGTCTTCTTTCATTTACTAATGCCGTCAGTCCCCAGGTAATGGAGATGAACAAAGGCAGGTGGTTTGAAGTCGGGCCTGGGTGTAGATTACTAAAACTTGAGCACTCAGAATCTGGTGCAGCTGTGCATAGTAGCCAGCTCCTATTTTCAGCTTTCTCAATTAAGCTTTGGCAATAAGCCCCCATACACACTGATGTGACTTGTCATGTAATCTGAAATTTAAAATCACATGACAAGTAGCACCCTATGATCGGCAATGGAACCATTCTAATTGGTGAGACTCAGACTTTGTTGGAGTCGCACCAATTTGAAAAGTAGTTCCTTCACTACTCTTGCTGATTTTCTGTTGTGCTATGCATTGACATCTGTGCATGAAGTCATACATATGTCTTGCAAGTCGCACTGACATGCAGCTTTGAAATCGTGTGACTTCAAAGTTGTATTCAGTGTGGACCCAGATGCTGATTGGTTTCTACAGAGCTGCACCAGATTTTGCACTCTCCCATTTTAATAAATAACCCCCTATGGCTTAGCCACCCAGGAACTGATTATATGAAAGATAACAAAGGTAGGATAAAATAAAATTCAGCCACAACGTCTAGGGACCAGTAAGTTGCAGTATATAACATTTTTGCTTTAGGCATGCTTTAAAGTGTACCTAAAGCGGAGAAATCTTTCAATGGGGACCTGAGAAACTCCCTTAATTTGCAGGGATTTCCTTTCACTTCCTGTTTGGCTTTAGGACAGGAAGTGATGCAAAATCGTCGCATTAGTGTACAGATGGCAAAAAAATAGACTGGTTATAACCCTTCCTTGCTCTATTCAAATCAAAGAAATTTTTTTTTTTGCCTCGTTCTACTTTAACAAGTGACCCAACTTCTGAAATGAAGGTTGCCTACTTCATCTTGTAGCAATTACCCCCTTTTGGATGGTGTGTGCTAAACAGCTAGAAAATCTTGTTTGGGATATTAAATTTCACCCCCCCCCGCCACACCACGCCCACACACACCCCCACACACTACTGCATAAAATGTTTCAATTGGAGAGCAATTCTTTTCTATGATGCTGGTTCACATCTATGTGTTGCTTTGTTTGATGTTGGGCCCATTCACACCAATGCATACATTACTACATAGCATTGGTGTGAGTGGGCTATTATACCATAATACATATACACTAATTTGGTCCATACCCTGACTTGTGTTTTCTGTAACTTTTGACTGTTTGCAGCTTAGCTGAATACTTTAGACCACAGGTGTCAAACTGGTGGCCATCTAGCTGTTGCCAATCTACAAGTCCCATGAGGCATTGCAAGATTGACAGTTACAAGCATGGCTCCCAAAGGTAGAGGCATGATGGGTCTTGTAGTTTCGCAACAGCTGGAGGGCTGCCAGTTTGATATTCCTGCTTTAGACAATATATTCCACTGAGGGCTGTAAGAGTCTGACGTGAGTTATACTGCCACCTACAGCTGGTTTGGGGTACTGGCAAGACAAAAACAGTTAAACTAGCCATTGTGTAGCCCTGACTCACTGTCATGTCTGTGTTTTGTGGTTTTTTTGTTTTTTTTTATAATGTTCTAGAAGGTTGGGCGCCTTTTTTCCACAGCTCTGCTGTAGAGCATTTTTTTTTCTTTGGTAACTTCAATCAAGTCTTCAAATACACGGCTGAGCTGGGCCCTTCATTTCAGCTATTGGGGTCATTGCATATTCTGAGTAGTAGCTTCCGAGGCTGTACTTAGATTGTGGGGCTATCCTCTAAAGTAACCATCAACCCACTATGGACAATCCAGCCATCTGCCTTAAGACAGAACTAAACCCTTTCAGTCAACAGTAACTATTTTAATCCTTATGCGACTAGCCTTTGGAAAAAGGTAGGAAGGTAAATACTTGTTTAAAACTTTTTTTTTTTTTTTCTTTTTGGTACATTCCTTCAGTTAGTTTCTGGTTTAGGCCAAGATGATGTCAAACATATTCTAGGAATCTTCATGATATGGAACAAGGGAGTTTTGCTGCCCAATGTAACTGGTGTGAACCAGCCCTACAGATTTTATGGATTTTCACTTGGAATTTGCTCTCCGTTATCTATTTGAACTGGTATAAAGCTGGGCATACACAGATTTTTTTTTTTTTTTATGCGTTTGGGCTGAATCAAAATCCTAACAAATTACTCTCTTAATGCTATTGGATGCAGCCACTGTTTCCCTGTCAATTTTCTGTCCAAACACACCAGAATGCCTCCAATTGTGGAAGAATTTAAAAAAGGGGAAAAAAACATACCAGAATGTGTTTAAAAAAACAAAACAAAATGCATTATACAGGATTTAAATAGTGCCAACAGTTTGCACAGTGCTTTACAAAATGAGGGCGGGCAGACAGTAGCTATAATACAATAGGAATCGGGAGGGCCCTGCTTAATAGAGCTTACAATCTAAAAGAGGGTCAAGTGATACAAAAGGTAATAACTGTGAGGGAAAAGCTGATGGAGAAAATACAGTTGTTAGGTGGAGGCAGGATAGGCTTTTCTGAAGAGAAGTTTTCTGGGATCGCCTAAAAATGGACAGCGTAGGTAATAGATTGGGGTAGGGAATTCCATAGGATGGAAGAAGTCCTGTAGGCAAGCATGGGAGGAGGTGACAAGGGAACGGGAGAACAGGATTTCTTGGGAGGAACGAAGACAGTGATTTGATTGGTATCTTGAGACTAGGTTCGTGACGTAGCTGGGGGCTGAATGGATGACTTTGTAAGTTGTAAACATTTTGAATTTAGTTGGGGAGTGGCAGCCAGTGCAGGGATTGGCAAAGGGGTGGCAGACACTGAATACTTGGTAAGGTGGATGATCCTGGCAGCTGTATTCACAATAGACTGGAGGGGGGATAGCCTATGTAAAGGTAAGTCAATAAGGAGGGAGTTGCGGTAGTTGAGGCCAGAGATAACCTGGGAGTGAATTAGGAGTTTTTTGGTGTCATTGATTAGGAAGGGGCGTATTTTGTAGATGTTGCTGAGGCTGAGATGGCAAGCTTTGAAAAGCGATTGGATCGGGGTTGAAAGAAGAGTCCAGGATTACACCTAGCACCTTGGCATGTGGGGAAGAGTTTATGGTTGTTCCATTTATCTTGAGAGAGAAGTCAAGAAGGGGCACATGGGGGAAGAAATATTTTGAGCTTGGTTTAGGATAAATTGAGCTTGAGGAAGAAGTGTGACATCCAGACGATATGTCTGTCAGTATGTGATGCATGAGGAGATGGATGTGAGCTGAGGGAGAGAGATGGATTTGGGTGTTTGTGAGCATAGAAATTATATTGAAAGCCATGAGAGGCTATCAGCTGACCCAGGGAGGAGGTGTAGATCGGGAATAGGAGAGGTCCAGGAACAGAACCTTGGGGGAGCCCAAAGGAGAAAGGGAGAAGACAGAAGGAAGTAGAATTGTAATTTATACACTGAAGGTGTGGTGGGATAAGT